CTTTAGCCATTTTAAAGGCCCGATTTAACTGTCTTCGTGACCTTAGAGTGTCACCCGAACGTGCGTCTCAGATTGTGGGTGCATGTGCTGTACTCCACAACATAGCCTCTATAAGGAAGGAGCAGATGCCAAGTGAATGCCAGCAATCCAATGATGATGTTGACTCTGTCTCCAGGGACCATCCCGCTGGGAGGGCTGTCAGACATGCCATCACAGAAGAATTTTTCATGCAACATTCAATAAAGCAAAATTGACAACGCAAATACATTTTGCACAATTTTTTATTACACAAACCTTAATTTTAAGTAAATTAGTACTTAAAGGGGACTTATGTAAAAATCACTTTAAGAGCTTTAAATTAGGCATGTCAATTTTAACAAAGTCCCGTGATCGATGATCATTTAAATTGATGATCAATTAATCATTAATCACCACTCCATCATAAACAGAGTTTTGAATGATTTGATATATTCAACTACCAAACCACCCAAGCCTTTTCCATTAGAAGATATACAGTTATTAATAGCCCAGTCCTTATAAACAAATCGTTTATCAAAATGCATACGAATCTAGGCTATCCTGAAGAATAAGCCCCATATGGAATACTTTGTATTCAATGCTTCATGAACAATCATGCATCAGAAAGATGTCTTTGGGTATCTTCATCTGGAGATATTCAGTGAGGTTTTTTATTTATTTATTTTTCCTTGGAGAGAAATCTGAATCGTCTCAAATCTATTCTAATCAATTTCCAGTTGTTTCAAAACAATTATTCTGACTGCTTAACACTGAAGTGGATTTTTAAATGGTATTGCAACAATTAAAACACTGGGTGTCATGTACTAAAACTACTAGGTCAATATTACTATGTAGTAATCATAACTAATAGTAGTGGTATTATAGTAATAGTAATATCTAGGTCAATAATTGTAACTGCCCATGATTTAATGTACTCGCTTTGCTTGCCCTAATTGGAGTCACCACAGGAGGGCGCTCTAGACTAATAGGATTTAAGTGAGACAAAGCAGAGTAAGAGCAATTCACGTTTGTTCACGAGCTAACAGGTACAGCTCGGAAGAATGCCTTGAGCTTTTAGTGTCCCTTCGGCAAGCAGAGCGAGGTATGTTTTGTTTATTGTTTGATTTATTTGGAAAATGTTAGATGTTTTGTAAATGTTTGTTGTTTATTTTTCTATGTTGTTTGTTTGTTTTCTCTAGTTTTTTGGTGCTTTGGTGCTTTTGGTCTTTTGATGCTTCTGTGTATACAACAAAGAACTGAGACGATGATTTATGTGATGAACTTTATTGCATCCAAGTAAAACTTTTTAAATGCACCCGTCAAAAACTCTCTGCCTATTCTTTGAAAGCTGAAGGGCTGCTACAGTAAAACTCGCTGCTACACATGGCGTTTGCATCACGTTGGTGATTCATCACATGAGTGTCATGTTACAAGCCTTCATCTCGTCTGTGGCACTGCATGGTATATACAACAGACTGAATCTACACTAGGACGGCGACTTTACACGGTTAACTGGGAAAACTCTTCATGAAAGACTGAAAGGTGACTGCAAACAAACGTTGTGGACTCAGAGGTACAAGAAAAGGAAAAATATTTATCTATTTATTACTTTTGGGATAATTGCAATTTTTAAAGAAAAAAAAGGATTTATATTTGTATGCTTTGTTGAATTTGTATGCAGTAATTGAAGTTTGAGAATGAGGAGTGACTAATGATTTAAGTGCTCATGTTTCAAGGTGTTTGTGTAATGTTGGGCTTATATTCATGATGCATGTATTAGACAAATGTTTGCAATTTTAAAGTGCTTAAAGTCTTAAGAGTTTATACTGTTGTTGCACATGTGATTTTGACTTATTACCTTTGCTATAATATTTTAGGTGTTTAAATTTGTCTGATGTAAGCAGGTTGCTGATTTAAGTTGTAGACAGACAAAATGGACGACACAGCGGAGCAAATGGCGGCACAAGCAAGTCAAAGGTCAGTTCTTGATAAAGATCTGAATAGTACAACAGAAATGCAACAGGTTAGATCAAGATCAAGCTCTCGAAAAAGAAATCCCACAGAAAAGGGTTTAGAAATGCAAAAACAAGAGACAAAAAGCACGAGAAAGCCTTTAATAAAGCTTATACTTCCTGGAAGCAGACAGCTAAAGAAATTAGATGTAAATTAAAAGCCTTATGCATATGTGAAGAGCTTGAGCAAATTTTGAAAGACATTCAAACTAGTCAGGATGTTGTCACTCAACATTATGCCCCATTTCTGCGTAATCAAACTGCTACTCCAGAGATTGTAAGAAGAGTAGATGTTTGTTCCATATTGAGTACAGAAATTTGTGATTTGGTGAGCAAACGAATAGAAACTGTTGATGTCATTCAAAAAAGGGAAGTAGTTAAAGAGAGAGTTAGGCAGATATTGAACAAAGAGGAGTATGAGTCTATATTTGGTTGTACCAATACAGAGACCATTATCTCAGTATCGTCACAGACTGTAGAAAGTTTGTCAGCTGTCTCAGAAACTTCCTCTGAAGCTTCAAGTAAACGAGCTGATGCAGAGGCAGAACTTGCGGCTAAAGTAGAGCAGAAAAGGGCCATTCAAGAAATTTCCAATCAGCAAGCTCGACTAGTTAAACTGGAGAATGACTGGAAGCTGGAAGAAGCAAGAATGTTAGCGGATATTAAACAGAAAGAAATTGAAATTCGCTCCAAGTTAGAAGAAGAAAAAGCAAAATTGCAATTGTTACAAGCGGAAAAAGATGTCAACGTAGCTGCAGCTCGAGTGAAAGCTTATAACAATGCAGAAAGTTGTCTTGAAGAGAGCAGTTTGGAAGACGACGAGACCGGCAATGTCATTTATCCTGAACGAAGAAAAGCTTCTAACAAACCTCAACGTAATCCTGTGATAAATCCAGTACCTTCACAAACATTTCAAGAAGAAAGTAAAACTAAAGAGACTGAGAATTTAGCTCAAGCATTAGTGAACTCCTTAAGTATAAGTCGTTTACCTGTTCCAGAACCAACCACTTTTAATGGTGATCCTCTGAAGTTTATTGAATGGAAAATGTCCTTCACAGCACTCATTGATTGTAAATCCATCCCAGCAAGTGAGAAAATGTTCTATTTAAAAACCTATCTTGCAGGAGAAGCTCGTAAGGCCGTAGAAGGGTTCTTTTATAAGAACTCGGATGATACATATCAGGGTGCTTGGAGAGTCTTGGAGGAGAGGTATGGAAACCCATTCATTATTCAGCGTGCTTTTCGAGAGAGACTCATGAAATGGCCCAAGGTGGGAGTAAACGATCCATTTTCCTTGAGAGAGTTCAGTGATTTCTTGCAAGGTTGTGTTGAAGCTATTCCACAAGTCAAAGGTTTGTCCATCTTGAATGATTGCGAGGAAAATTACAAGTTGCTTAAGAAGTTACCAGAATGGATTGTCCGTAAATGGAACAGAATTGTTGTTGAAGAGTTGGATATGACAGGAGACTATCCAAGTTTTAAGCAATTTGCTGAATTCTTGAAGAAGGAATCAAAGATAGCTTGCAACCCTTTTACTTCTCCACTGCTAGTCAGTTCAAAGGTTCCAGATGAAAAGTATCTGAAAAGAGCAAAAGCTTTCAATATTAAGGCTCAAGTAAAAGATTCAAGACCAGAATTCAAGGTAACATCACCATGTTCTGTGTGTAAGAGTGAAATTCATAGTATCGTTAAATGTCCTATCTTTGCAGAGAAGCCCATGGATGATAAAAGATCTTTCATTCGTGAAAATCACATGTGTTTTGGATGCTTGAGAAGAGGGCATATTTTTAGGGACTGTAGGAGACGGCATATTTGTGGAACATGTGGACTGCGTCATCCAACTTGTCTGCACGAAGATAAACGCAAACATTCAGAGGTATCCCAAGCAGATATTACATCAGAAGCATATACAAGTCAAGAGGGCCAAAGGGCAATGTCTTATGCAGTAACACAACATGTCTCTGCTACTTCTAGTATTGTTCCAGTGTTTATCTCCACAGTAGAAGAGCCACAAAATGAGATCCTTACCTATGCCTTACTCGATACACAAAGTGACACGAGCTTTATTTTGAAGGATTTTATTGATGAGCTGCAAGTGAGCAGTCAAGCGGTGAAGCTGAAACTCAGTACTATGACAACTACAGACACGATTACTTCAAGTAACAAGGTTAGTGGTCTGCGAATCCGAGGACTTCAAGGTGGGAAATGTATCCAAATACCTCAAGTGTATACGTGTGATTTCATTCCTGTGGATAAAGCTCACATTCCAACGAAGAAAACTGCATTATGCTGGTCTCATCTTAAGCACATAGCCAATGAAATGCCACCACTTCAGAGTTGTGATATAGGACTATTGATTGGATATGACTGCCCTTCAGCGTTGGCTCCCCTAGAGGTCATAATCGGTAAGGAAAATGAGCCTTTTGCACAGAAAACCGCGCTGGGCTGGAGCATTATTGGTCTTTGTAATCCCCACTTAGACAGACAAGGAAGTCAAAGTTTTGTTCATCGAGTGTCTGTGAAAGAAATGAGAGTTCCAACAGCTAATGATGTCTTGAAAGTTTTGGAGTGTGACTTTAATGAGAAAAGTTATGAAGACAAATATGTGTCACAGGAAGATGTCCGCTTTATTCGTTATCTTAGTGATAACATCAAGCATAAAGAAGATGGACATTTTCAGTTACCTCTTCCTTTCAAGAGCAGTAATCCACCTTCACTCCCTAACAACAAGAGGCTGGCTTTATTACGTCTGCAGCATTAAGGTAAGAAGTTAAGGTCAAATCAACAGTACCATGAGAATTACAAGATTTTTATGGAAGAAATGCTCAACAAGGGAGATGCAGAGATTGCTCCAGTAATACCTGATAAAGAAATAGCTTGGTATATACCACATCATGGAGTTTACCACCCTCACAAGCCAGACAAGTTAAGAGTAGTATTTGATTGCTCATCAAAATTCTGTGGCATATCTCTTAACGATACTCTTCTTACTGGTCCAGATTTGATTAATTCTCTGGTGGGAGTACTTTGTAGATTCAGGAAGGAAGCCGTTGCTGTGACATGTGACATTGAAAAGATGTTTCATCAATTTCATGTCCCCCCTGAAGAGAGAGATTATTTAAGATTCCTATGGTGGAAGAATGGGGATTTGAAAGAAGAGCCCATTGAATATAGAATGACTGTGCATCTTTTTGGTGCAGCTTCATCTCCTGGGTGTGCGAACTTTGGCCTGAAGTATCTCGCAGAGAAGTACAAATCTGAGTATTCTGAAGCCTCTTCATTTGTGAATAATAACTTTTATGTGGATGATGGCTTAATTTCAGTTCCATCTATACAGGAAGCTAAAGATTTGATTGCAGAAGCTAAAACCCTGTGCAAGCTTGGAGGGTTACGTCTCCATAAGTTTAACTCAAATGAGAAAGATGTCTTGCGCTGTGTGGATTCGTCAGAGTGGGCGGTTTCTTCTAAGCCACTAAATTTGACTTCTGAATCATCTGGGCATGTTCTTGGCATACAGTGGTCTACAAAGGATGACACATTCAGTTTCAACTCTCAACTTAAAGATCAGCCTGCAACACGTCGAGGTATCTTGTCAATTGTATCTTCCTTATACGATCCCGTTGGATTTGTTGCTCCTTTCCTTTTGAAGGGAAAGTGCATTTTGCAGGAGCTCTGTCAGAGAAATATGGAATGGGACGATTCTCTCCCTGATGACTTAATTCCACGGTGGGAGGAGTGGAAAAATAGTCTCCAGGACTTGAAAGATTTTACTGTTCCAAGATGTTACTATCCTTCGTCCTTTAGTAAGATTGTGTTGACAGAGTTGCATCATTTCTCAGATGCAAGCAACCTTGGTTATGGTGCATGTTCCTACTTAAGAGTCAAGAGTGACAAAAATGAAGTGCATTGTTGCCTAGTAATGGCCAAGGCTCGAGTGGCACCTATAAAAATCAAGAGTATTCCAAGACTGGAATTGGCTGCTGCGGTGGTTTCTGCTAGACTGAGTGTTTTGCTAAAAGCTGAACTGCAAATGATGATCGATCAAAAGTTCTTTTGGTCTGATTCACAAGTTGTTCTTGCATATCTCAACAATGAAGCAAGAAGGTTTCACGTGTTTGTCGCTAATCGTGTTCAATTGATCAAGGAAATTACAAATACAAGCCAGTGGTATCATGTCAACACATCTCAAAATCCTGCTGACCATGCCTCTAGAGGTTTACTCATTTCAGAGTTGAGATCTACTAACTGGATGACTGGACCTACATTTTTATGGGACCAAGAAGTGTGTCCAGCTCCAAACACTTCAACTAAATTACTAGTAGGAGATCCTGAAGTCAAACTTGTACAGGTACGGCTGACTAAAAGTAGTGATACTGCTAACTTCCTTGATCGATTTGGCCACTTCTCTTCCCTGAGAACTCTAATCAATGTTGTTGCTCGAATAAAAAGGCTAGCATTAAGGAAGAAATGTCTTAAGGATATTGTCACCGTTGAAGAACGCAAGTGTGCATTACAGGCTGTGATTAAGCTTATTCAAGAACGAGCCTTCTCCCAAGAAATCCAAACAATCCAAGGAGGTAAGGCTCTTCAGAAGTCCAGTTCACTTTTCCACCTGGATCCCATCTTGAAAAATGGTCTTCGTGTTGGAGGAAGGTTGAAAGGATCATCTCTTAGCGAAGAGGTCAAACATCCATTAATTTTGCCCAAAGAGAGCCACATTACCAACCTTATTCTAAAACACTATCACAGCAAAATTTGCCATCAAGGAAGGTCCCAAACGCTTATGGAACTCAGGACACATGGATTTTGGATTATTGGTGGCAGTAAGTCGGTTGCTAAGTTAATCTACAATTGCGTTCAATGTCGGAAACTCAGGCGACCAGTGGAGGAACAACAAATGGCAGAACTTCCAAAAGAACGTACTGAAGCCTCTTCCCCGTTCTGCTACACGGGTATGGATTGTTTTGGTCCATTTATTATAAAAAAGGGACGAAAGGAGTACAAAAGGTACGGCCTTCTTTTCACTTGCCTTTCATCACGAGCAGTCCACATTGAAATGCTTGAAGACCATTCAACAGACATGTTCATTAATGCTTTGAGATGTTTCATAAGTCTGCGAGGAGCTGTTCGTCAACTTTATTGCGACTGTGGTACAAACTTTGTAGGAGCTAGAAATGAATTCAAACAGGCTCTTAAGGAATGCGATGTCAAAACACTGGAGAGATATCTTGCGGAAAATCAGTGTGAGTTTATCTTTAATGCTGCCTCAGCTAGTCACTCAGGAGGTGTCTGGGAACGCCAAATTAGGACTGTGCGTAATGTGCTGAATTCTACTCTTTCTTTGTGCCCTGGTAGACTGGATGACTCTTCTCTAAGAACATTGTTTTATGAAGCGATGGCTATTGTTAATAGTCGACCATTAACTGTGGATGGAATAAACGACCCAAAATCACTAGAACCTTTAACTCCTAATCATCTTGTTTTAATGAAATCCGAGACTGCTCTTCCTCCCCCAGGGAAGTTTCTAAAGGAAGACGTGTATGCTACAAAAAGGTGGCGCAGGGTTCAGTACTTGATTGAACAGTTTTGGAGTCGTTGGAAAAGGGAATATCTCCTGAATATATCCACAAGACAGAAGTGGCACGTACCTCGACGTAATCTTAAAGTAAATGACATTGTAATCATTAAAGATGACATGCTTCCTAGAAACAAATGGCAGTTAGGTAGGGTTGTTGAGGTTTTTCCAGGTAACGATGGCCTTGTTAGACGCGTTAAAGTTCAAACAGGAGAACAAAAACAGAAAACGGGGTTGGGGCACCATTCTTCACATTCAGTTATTGAGCGACCAATCCAAAAATTGGTTGTTATAGTTGAGAGTGATTAGTTGCAACTTTCTTGCATCAGACAAATAATGTTAATTTTGTATGTGGATTTATTTTGTGAGTTAAATTTGAGGTTAAAATCATGTATGATATTTGTTTTGTTTGTTTTGATTCATACCATGATTTGGTGGGAGTGTAACTGCCCATGATTTAATGTACTCGCTTTGCTTGCCCTAATTGGAGTCACCACAGGAGGGCGCTCTAGACTAATAGGATTTAAGTGAGACAAAGCAGAGTAAGAGCAATTCACGTTTGTTCACGAGCTAACAGGTACAGCTCGGAAGAATGCCTTGAGCTTTTAGTGTCCCTTCGGCAAGCAGAGCGAGGTATGTTTTGTTTATTGTTTGATTTATTTGGAAAATGTTAGATGTTTTGTAAATGTTTGTTGTTTATTTTTCTATGTTGTTTGTTTGTTTTCTCTAGTTTTACGGTGCTTTGGTGCTTTGGTGCTTTTGGTCTTTTGATGCTTCTGTGTATACAACAAAGAACTGAGACGATGATTTATGTGATGAACTTTATTGCATCCAAGTAAAACTTTTTAAATGCACCCGTCAAAAACTCTCTGCCTATTCTTTGAAAGCTGAAGGGCTGCTACAATAATAATTCTTAAATTAAAACTGTGAATCTGATCTTTTGTGTTTACTTTCTGAATGAATCCATGTTTTAATCAGTTCAGACAGCGGTTTACTTCTTTGTTGAATGATTTATTTTGAGGAATAGTCTCACTCATAAGACAATATTACTACCACATACTGGAAGTGTTGGATTCTTATTTTGAAGATTATTAAAAAAACATTTCTTCAAATGCAATAAAGTACAATAAAGTTTATTCTTTGAAATAAAGGGATAGTTCACACAAACAAAATAATTTTGCCATCATTTACACACTACGGTGCCATTTCAATCTGTATGAATTTCTTTCTATATATAGATTATATTTGTAAACCTTTACTTACTGCTTTTCACATTTAACACAATAATGAATTGAAATCTTTCTAAGTCAATTTCATAACATTAAACAGAATTTTTACAATAATTTGCATTATTTCAGTTCAGGATACCCAATAATAACTTTCAAGTATTTTTATTTTATCTTTGGTTAGTGTGTGTGTGTGTGTGTGTGTGTGCGTGTGCGTGTGCGTGCGCGTGCGCGTGTGTATGAGATGAGATGAGATGAGATGAGATGAAGAGAAGAGAAGAGCTAACAGTAACTGGCATTGGTCCATCTCTAACAAAATTACACAAGCTGTAAGTTCTTCTGGTCATTCAGATGACATCTTCTGTCTGGAGCATCAGGCCAATCTTCAACTGTCCAGAATCAGGTGGTTTGTCTTGGTCTGGCATCTCAGCTGAGACCTGTCCACTATGGGTGACCCTACCGGTAACTGTAGTACCAGTGGCATAGCTCTCAGCATCACTGATGCGCACAAGCCCTCACAGCACGTCAAGCTGCAAACCGTGTGAGGGACCCTAACCTACCCTGACCCAACAGCCAACACTAACAACCACTAATGTGCCAAAAAACACTCAGAGGAGACCAACAACGCGCAACACACCGCCTAGAAAACCTTGCTAAACGCCTGCCAACATCCAGCAAACCATCCAAAAGAGCACTGACAATCACAAAACCCTCCAGCAATGTGATGAAAACTTGAATGAAATGTCAAATGTGTTGTGTTGCAAACTTATTGTAGAACTATATACAATATATACAATATGTACATACGTGCCCTTGATCCTTCATCTGGCACTATATGGTGACTCAGTGCCTGGGCTTCTTCCTTCGGGGCTCCTTGGGCAGTGGCTCTTTGCTGATGTCCACCATGATCCGAGGAGGGATGCTGGACCCAGACCTGCTCTCAGTGATGACCACACGTCCATCAGCCTGCACGGTCTCCAGCAGTACAGGCCGGTCCAACTTCTCCCACAGCCGCTGCTTCATCTCCAAGCCCCACTGAAGGTTGTACCGGCCTCGGCGTCTCTTCATGGTTGAGTCCATCACACTATGGAAGATGTGCTGATATTCTTGCACACTCCGGCCGTGGATGGAGATCGGCTCCTCCTGTGGACACTCACCCACTGAGGAGACTGATGCTGCGGGGCGGAGGACAGGAAGGACAGCTGCGTTTCTCAAGTGTTTCTCCTCCAGTGAAGTGTCCGACTTGCAGCTGTCAGTGTCCGGCCTGGCCGCCGCTGCGCGCTCCTCAACGGAAGAGACGCGCTCCAGCTGGAAGTCTCTCAGGTGAGCAGGGAGAATCCTGGCCCTCCTCGAGCGCCTCAGCGTCATCATGAACTCCAAAACAATTCCCCAAAGTAGACCAACAGGTAAAACTCAGTCAAAGGGAGATTTGTTTAGAGTTTTGTAGCGCGATGATCAGGATTGATAACTTTATAGACAGTTGTGTGGATTTTTAAACCATCTCAAGTTGCCGTGGTGACAGGGTCATTTAAATGTAAACAATAATTGATATCAGCGTTAAGCCAATTAGAGCAGCACAAGCTGTATGTACAATGCAGTTCTTGTTAAATGGTAAACACTGAAAATATCTTAATTGTTGTTGGGTATAATAATAGATGGCCCATATATCTAAATAAATATTGTGGCCGTTTTTTATTATAATATTTAAATTTTTGAACTTGAAAGTCGTCATATTTCCACGTCAGAAATCTAGTCACGTCAGCATTTATCTGAAATAAAAAGCTTTTGTTATATTGAATAGCTTGGAGCGAGTATAATTTTCTCCCTCTTTAAATTTTTTAAAAAATTATTATGATTTTAACATTGATAAAAAATAGATATTTAATAAATCTAGTTGTCTCCTATTTTTCTAAAGCTGTGTGAAAAAAAATATAAGCAGGGAAATTATTTTAACCTTCAAGAGCTTTGTTATAATATGATTGGAATCACATTTTGTTATTTTTAGATTTTATTCATAATAATAAATGTATTAGTAAAGTATTATGTAATACTACATCACTCATAAGAAGTGTTTAAATTTCCACAGTTGCAGAATGAAATTAACTATTAATAAAATGGCTCAACTAATAAAATGAATGGTTTGTTTAATTTCACAGTTGGGAATTTGTCTTGTGAGCAATTCTCATAAAATTTGATCCACAAAAAATAAAATAAGCTATACAAAATACAAGATTCTTAGACAGTGACTTTTGTATATTGCAAAATTTAATTTTGCATGTCCAACAGTGAAGACAATTATCTCTTCCTTAATGTAGCTACAAGGCTTTGATGACTAAACCAGGATGTTGACAGTGGCCTACCTCATTTACAGCTTACAAACACTGGTACAAAAAGTTTAAAGTGCGTGAATGTACAATGTAAAACAACAGCAAAACAGTGTCAAAGCATATAAAAAAGAGATCACAATCTACTTTACATTTTTCATTCAAACCACACACACACACACACAAGTTGAAAACAGTGGAATGTAACACTTGATTAAACAACATCAAACATGTCGCGGTTCATTTGGATTAAAAAGAGTTGTCCTGGTGAAATGGAAGTCTAGTATAGTGAAGTTAGTGCATGGGTGTGTTTGAAATCTGCATGACACATTATCCATTCTGCAATTTGACTTTACTGTATTTAGAGTGTGAACTTTTTAGCTCAGTTATCAGCCATTCAGAACCACTAGCCAAAACTAAAACAAACCAAATTGTCATTATCACTTTTTATATTTAAATATATTTAAAATGCATATTTGCTGCAATATTCTTCTTTTTTCTATACATAATTTGTAAATTGTAACCAAAATCAGACATGTGTAAACCACCATGGTTCATTTTTACCCACATTGTGTAGGTTGACAGTGGTTCAACTTTGATTGTATTATAGTACTGTAAGACCTACTTTCTTGCTGTTTAGACTCCATCCACTGCACTATATGCTGTACCAAAAAAAATAAACAACTAACATTGTGTGTGTACTCAGGCAAAATCTCATATTTGTGCTTTACATTTCCATATAACTCCTCAAATACACATTCAAATGTATTAAGAAACATGATTTCTTACTGGTCGTGCATACTTGCTACAATTTATCTAAATGAAAATGTCTGTTTTTTCGTACCATTATCATATCATGACTTATTAAACACCAGGCACTTTACTTAAAGGGATAGTTCATCCAAAAATCAAAATGACGCTTCCGGTTCAGGCGACTGAGGGAATGGCAGAAAGTAGGGGGCCACTGGAACACATGCGTTAGCACAGCAAGACAATGCTAATCGGCAATAGCCTAGTAACCCAGATAACACGCAGATCAACCTGGAATGAATCCTGGAGGAAATTCAAAACTTTTGGAAGGAAAACAACAGCCATTTGGATGAAATCAAGACTGAATTAAATAAGACTATTTAAAGGATCGGCCATGCAGAGGAACATATTAAAGAAATTGAAACCCGGATGCAAAATGTGGAGGAAACAATGCAGAAAGTCATCGTAGTACAATCGCAATTGGAAAGCAAACAGATGGATTAAGAAGGCAGATCAAGAAGAGACATATTAAGGATAGACAACGTGCCTGAAGATGCAGAGAGAAACTTCATGGTTGAGTTCATAGAACATCTGCTGCGGGACACCTTGGATTTTCCTCCAGAAACAGATCTGTATGTGGAAAGAGCCCACTGGGCGCTCGTGCCAAAACCCGGAACGATTGCAAAACCTACATCGATCATAGTGAAATTCCTCAGATATAAAACAAAAACGAAAATGATCTCACCATTTACTTACTGAGTTTTTTTTTCTTCTGTTGAACACAAATGCAAATATTTTGAAAAATGTAACTGATGGAACCCATTGACTTCTATAGTTTGAAAAAAAATAATTACTTTGGAAGTCAATAGCTACGTTTCCATCCACCTATTTTATGTGCATTTTTAAGATGCAAATAAAAAAAAATAAAAAAAATCAGTTGATGAAAATGCCAAGATACAATTTTGAAAATTTTCATTTAAAAAATGTAAGCGCATAACTGAGTAGGAAAATCTTTTTATTCGAATACGATAAGAAAAGATGCACATAAACTATGATGGAAACACTTTTACCGAACAAAATCCAGTATGCGCATTTAAAAAAGTCATGTGATTTTGTTATAAGAGATTATGTGATAATAAATGTGTGTGTGAATGGGCAAACCAGCAGGCTGAGCACATTGTAAACTATCTGAACTGTTGTTTTAGTTATTCTAAAACACCTTACCGTTTCAGTATTAGTGTTATTATATTATTAGTTACCTCCAGGGGACTGTCAAGAGCATCTGTGCTCTGTGTCTGACGCCTTCAAACACCACCACGCGTTCATTGGGTGTCGGCAAACTGTCTTCTGAGGCGCAAGTCCTTTATTAAATAAAGAAAAGATTGACGCAGCTTCCACCACACCAAATTCCGTTTTTACTTTTAATAACTGGCGCCAGTTAATCAGGAGGTGATGGCTTTGTTCACTTTGACTCATTGGGTGGAAACGCTGCCTTATTTGCACGTCTTTTATGCGATATTCCAGTTATGAGCATAAATTTAATTTGCATCTTTAGATGGAAACATAGTTAATGTTTATCACCAAACAGCATTCTTCAGAGTATCTTCTTTTGTGTTCAACAGTAGAAACAAACAGTTTTCACAAGCGAGTGAATGATGACAGATTTATTTTTGTGTGAACTATCGCTTTAAATGAACACATCTGACAATAGAAACCAAAAGAAATGAAAGCTTAAGAAATTAACAACTGACCAAAACACAGGAATACATTTTAAAAAGTACCCAAACTCTGTAGCACTAATATTGTGTCCGGTTTGAACTGCCTGATGTTCACAGTAATAGTCAACTTTTAAGATGAAAGTACCCTCATTAAACATTAGGAACACAAATAGTCATTTAAAGCTGTTTTTTCCACCTTGAGTGAAGCTTCATCACTCTTTGTCTTGGCAGTGATTATAGCACCAGTAGCAGTCATACAACACAAAGCCCATTGCCCACCTTTCCTGTACATCGATCCGCTCTAGTCTCGTCCACATCACAAATATTTTAACTGTCTTTTTTTTTTATATCAACACAATAAACTGTGTCATAACATTTAAAAGTTGTAAGATGTGAGAGTAGATTTCAGGGCGTTGTCTCCAACAACTAAAATGTGGCAATACACAAACCGAGCATGTCCCATCTCTTTTTCCTCAGGCTCAGTATGATTAGTCTTTACAAAAGCTGCCCATTGACTGTACCGAGTGAACATTAAGAGTTTCAGTCTGTATATGCAGTATTTTACACCACAGAGTCTCTAATCTCAGAGCCTAGTCGTACCCGAGGACGAGGGCTAATGTCACTGACCTCCACATGACTCTCTTTATAGCCATTCTGTGGTGTTGGCTTGAGTATCTGTGTTTCCTCCGATTTCTGCGGTGTGTTTGTTTCTGCCGGAGCGATTATGTAACTACAGTTTTCCTCTAGCGTCTGGTAGCTTTTGTGTTCAGATGGCGAGGTTGGAGGTGCACCAGCATTGAGAGGCAAGCTCTCCCCAGGGTGGACTGTGCTCTTCTGGGCTCCTCCAGCTTGCTCTCCTCCTCTGAGTACCTCCTTCATCCGACCTCTGTGTCGATACACTACTGAAAGCCCAAACGAAAGCACACAAACGGCTAATAAAACACACACCACCGCCAGTTCTGTGCCGTACGTCTTTATGCGATGTTGAGCAGAGTGTGCTTCGGATTCCTCAGACAGAATGTCCGATGCTATGCTTTGGATTAAAAATGGTGCTTCCTTGCGGCCGATTTTGGTTGTGGTTTCAGATAACGGCTCGGCCTTCACGCAGTAATTGGCCAAGAGTTGCCAAAAGCCACGTTCTTCTGACCAACATGAGAAGACCTCGTCACTGCCTGCTCGGCCGCTGACTACCAAGCCACCATCTGCGCTGGGAAACAGAAAGTGACTTACGTTTGGTTTGTATAGCCATTTTCTGTGGGCGTGGTTGGAGCGAAGGTTGCAGGGTAGAAGTTGAAGAGTGTTTGCTGGGATGATGATGAGCTCACAATCTGATGTTTCGGAATTTGTGAAAGAACGCGGTGATACTAGAAAGAGAGCAGAAGAGGTAAATATTACAACTTAATTTTTTGGATTATAGATGCTTGGATGACTTTTATGTAATGGTTAAGTAGGGTTCCAACTTTAAGTCAAATATCAAATTCTGTGGCTTTCACCAACTAAAAAGCAGTATTGTCATGACATCTAATGATTGTAAAAACAGACTGTTGTTGTGATTGTATATAGAGAGTTGAAGTCAAAATTATTATTATTTTCTCTCTTTTTAAAATATTTTCTAAATTGTTTAACAGGGCAAGGAATTTTTCCACAGTATTTCCTATAATATTTTTTCTTCTGGTAAAAGTCGTATTTGTTTTATTTTGTCTAGAATAAAAAAGTAAAAAAAAAAGATTTAACCCATTTTACGATCAATATTATTAGCCACCTTAAGCATTTTTTTTTCAATGGTCTGCAGAACAAACCATCATTATACAATAACTTGCCTAATTACCATAACTTGCCTAATTAACCTCATTAAGCCTTTAAATTGCACTTTAAGCTGAATACTAATATCTTGAAAATATTATGTACAGTCATCATGGCAAAGATAAAAGAAATCAGTTATTAAAATGATTATGTTTAGAAATGTGTTAAAAATGTTCTCTCTGTTAAACAGAAATTGGGGAAAAATATACAGGAGGGCTAATACTTCAAGATGGCTATTAACTCTGTCTTCATCTGTATATATTGATCAGAAAGGTAGAAAATAAACTATGAAAATCAGATATCGCTTTCGAATTGTGGTTCAACCAAAGCTTTGATAGAGGCAAAAAACTACAAACATTAAAATAATAGTAAATATTAAAACAGTTTTAACTTGAATTTCATTCTGTATGACTTCAATAGCCACTGAGAAAAACAATAAATAATATACCTCAGATTTTGAAAATTAATTCTTGAGGTGCTTCCTGTTTGTGTGGCTGTGAAGTGCTCCCTCTCCCATATTTGTCAGATCAAAGTAGTTTTACAAACTTTACATATTGCTTTTCTGTCATAAATTCTGAACACTGAAGTGGTCATTTTAAGAGCCGAAGCTCTGAATATTGACATTATCCTAGCATGTTAGCCTTAGTAAAAGGTTCAATTTGTGTCTGTTGAGCGTCAGTTTTTCATTATTCTTCATTAGCGGAAGACTCTGCTTTTTAATTCATGACTGCATGCATGTGCTTTTCGAAGGTAAGGCAGACCCGCCAAGCTGTAAGACCGCATCTGCGCATGGGAAGAAATATTTAGCCGTTCATGAAGGGTCTTAACGTTATGTGTTTGTTTCCATGATTCACAGGGTTCGTTGCATGTTGCTTTGTGATGCTGTCAGGGCCGATACAGTAAAGTTGTTGATTTGCAGCAAGCATTTTTGTCAGGACAGCTGTACGAGAATGGTGGAGTTTGTCTTTTATCAGTTGAGTTTGTTATTATTTGGACATCACCTATGCTGCTGTGTTCACCCATGTTTTAAATCCTCCGGAATACTGACAGGACTAATAGTTGGAATAGATAGGGAAAGATACCTGCTGCACTGCTATCCCCTGTGTCTGCATTCAGACCTGGGGATTCATGAGGAGAGAAGTCTTACTCATGTCTAGTGTTTATACAATTATCTTTATAATTATATAAATTGTGGTTATGTGTATGTGAAATTACGAATAACATATGTAACAAGCATTAAATTACGGATTATTTCTTTGCATTTTAACTTTGTAAACTATAAAATCATGGGTCACCTCATAGTTTGTGTCTTATTTTGTGAGCCAACTGACAACATTTGATCGCTCTCCTCTTTTCCCCCTGCTCTGCCGGCCACACCCACTCTCCCTCTACTCGCACAGCTCCATACCATCATAAAGGATTTTTTGAAAAAGAACTGTGGTAGACTTCAACCGAAAGAGGGGGGTTTCATGACCCTTTAACAAGTACTGCCAAGTACTGCATCGGACCTCAGTTGTTTCCAGGTGATAAGCTTAAAAAAATAGACTAACCATAATCTGCGTGAACCAGTGTGATATAAAAATATAGTATAGAAAAATTACATTTTGATGAATGGAAACTAAAATGTAAAGCAACAAATAAAAGCCAATGATATTCCATGGAGTTGGACAAAAATATATTTATAAAAAATCCCTGACTTTCAATGCCTGGAATAGACCTTTTAAAATTCCATGATAATACAAAAATAACATAAGAAGAACTTTCTGTAAAGGTTTGCAAGTTTACCTGAGCTCCCAGAGTCAACTCTGAGCATGGTGCTGTTGCATTTCGAAGTGTCCGCTTCCTCTATATCTTGTTGCCATTGGCTAAAACACACGTAGACAGGTACAGATTGGAATCAGTGCTAAAAATTATTTATCTGACATATGACTTAGAAAAGACAATCAAGGACTTACTTTTGTGGTGGGACAAGTGTGACGTCAGTACAGTGTGTGCCTGTCCAAGCACAGTATGGGTCTCTGGCTAAAACACACTCGCCACAGTTGTTATGGAAACTGCAGTTTGCTACTGGCAGCTGAACAATGCCAGAGTGTGACGACACAAATAACAGACCCTGTTTGTGGAGAGACGGGACAGAGAGTGAGAGGGTGAAATACATACTTTGTAAAACAGAAGTTGAAATACAAGTACACCGTTCAGAAATGTAGGGACTGTATTTTGTTTTTTGGTCATTATTAACAAATCAATGCTGAGAGTGACATTAAATGTGTCAGATTTCAAATGTTAATTTTACCACCCAGAGCTCAACACTTGATTATTAAAAGTGAATTGTATAGTATCCCTGAAAAATTATGTTTATGCAAAAGACCACAGACTTTGATTATATTTGGGCCCCTTTTCTTAATTCATTACCATTGATAGACTTTAATACTGGACATCAGTATTGTCAGTCATGAAATATTTTGGTTATTTATTTATTTATTACCTATATATACACATGTTATTTATTTACTTATATATTCATTTATTTGTGCATCATTTCTGGACATTACGGTTTTCATTGATTTGTATCATCAACCATTGTTGCTCCACCTTTATTTAACATCGACATGACAAATGTTTGGATTAATATGAAGAGCACAGTATACAGCTGTTGGTGTGTGGGGAGGGGGTTGTTTATTATATTTTATTCACATATTTAAAAAAAAAACTTACTTAAAACTAAAAAAAAAAAAAAAAAAAAAACCTTAAAAAGCTTTGCCAAAACATAAATATATTATTAAATATATAAAATAACACACTGAATTTATAAAGACACACAAACATATAAATATATATTTATGTGGTTTATGAGGACTCTCCATAGGTGTAATGTATTTTATACAGTAAAAATAGCTTATTATATGGACTTACCCTACCTCTATCCGTAAACCTTAAAAATTTGAATATCAAAACCTGTTAACCTGCGAATATCACCCTGTTAAGTATGATTTTAAGTGTAAAGAAAAGTCACCTTATCAGTATTACACTTCAGTCAGACCTATGTCACTATACAATTTAGTGTCCTTGTAAACCACATAATATAGAACACAAACACACCTTAGCTGAATCCAGCTCTATTTGCTGTACTGGTTGTTGTTCTGAGAACAGCTGGATCTCCTCAATGATGTGCATCATACCAGCTACATTCACAGCCTTCTGCAGACGCCCATCAGCTGCCAAAACCCAACATCACCATCTTATTAGGAATTAAATATAACCTCAGAAAATCTGATGTTCATAAAGGCCTTACATACCTGTGCCAATGAACATCACGTCATAAGCTCTGTGGAGACCCTTCACGTGGTGCACAGCGATTTGTGTGTAGTGCACAGTGTGTGTGAAGAGCACAGGCTGACTTCTGACAGGACGGTCCATCAGGAAGTGGTCCTTCACAAAGTTTAGTACCTTATCTGGCATATCCAGAGAGGAGTCTATTCCCAGCTGCCTTGAGGCATTAGTAATACACTACAAAAGGAAAAAAAAACACTAAGAGACTCTCCACTTGTACAGAACAGGTAGAGTGTAAATGTGGGAGTGTGTTGTCTTACCATTCCTGGTCGTGGTTCAGGTACAGATTGAGTGTATGTGTACCATTGTTGTGTCTCTCGATTCACCTCTTTGTAACGGCCAGTAAAGGCTTGATCCACCTGATCCATGCTGAACACACACACTGCGGAACTGCCAGCAAGACCTTTACTCCTGCAAAACACAGCAGCAAATTAGAAACAAACAGTATGCAGAGTAGAAAAGTAAAATAAACACATCAGAAGTTTAGTATGCAGACCTTTCCAGTAATATTGGTACACTTGTTAAGTTAAAACAAAAAACAACAAGGCTGTGAATGTATTTGCTTAAAGAAATTACACACAATACTCTCACTAAGAACTAAATTTTTATTTTATTATTTATTTTATTTATTTAAAAAAGCTAAATATATGTGTGCTAGCATTATTGGCACCCCATATGAATTTTGAATTAAATACCCATTACTATTTGACAGTTTTTGTACACCAGGATGACAAGGAAGAGAATACTGTTCAACCATGACCTCCATTTAGACAAGGCTAAAGAACAGAGCTGTGATTAGAGGCAAAGGGTTGTTGAGGCAAACGGTAAATACACTATCAAGGCAATCATTAATAAATTCCACTCAGCTGGATGGGTTATGACTACCTGGAAGATGACGTGTGTTTGTCCTGTCATTATGCAATGCTGGGTGGATGATTTGAGTCAAAAAAACATTAAAGATTCACAGATGGAGAAATGCACAAGTAAGTTAGTTCTTGGGTCAGAAAATCTCTAAAACTATGACCAACATAACCATAGTTTAAAACATTTCAAGGAAATTCTTTAAAAATCTTTAATTTATCTCTTTATTTTGTTCAGTTTATCTGTTCAGCAAAAGAATAAAAAGTTAAATGATAAAAAAAAAACATTTCCCCCACTCCCATTTGTTCATATTTATTAAGGGTGACAAATTATTGGAGGGCACTGTGCATCTAATAATACTGTGGTATTAGTATAGTATTATTCACAATAAAAAACTTCCAAGGGCCATCTCTGTTGTTTTGCTCATCATTGAGAAGTAAAAACTGCATAAAAAAGTATGTTTTTCTTGCGTTTGGCGGGAAGTTAAAATGGTTATTACTACAACCTAATGTCACCAACATTATCATAGTTTGAAAAAGTTAAGGAAAATTCTCTACTCTCATCCAAAAAAAATTCCCCACCCTCATTTGCTCATATTTATCAAGAGTGCCAATATTATTGGAGGGCACAATGCATCTAATAATACTAGTACTATTATATTATTACACAGGGTTGAGCAGTATTTAAGTATTTTAAATACACATTTTAAATACAAAATAATATTTTGTAATTTGTATTTGATAGGGTTTATGAAAATGGCTTAATATTTTGTATCAAAATACCTAAGGGTCTTGTATTTTTGCATTTTTAAAATACTTTGTAAGAAGTCTACATGGTGACATCTTAAAAACGCGGCCTCCGATTGGTGCTTTCTCAGTTGTTTGCCTAAGCCTGAGATCAGAACAGAAAATTTATTATGAAGGTGGTTAATGCTTGGATTATGGTTGGAAGTTATGCATCTTTGCTTAAGAAATACGATGGAATAAAATATCAGCCCTAAAGAACAGGATGTGGAGCCTTCAGCACATAATCATTCTCAGTCTCAGTGCTGCAAGTGGAAATTCAGACGAACTTTAGAATAATAAAACAACGAAAGATGGTGTACCGGTGTTCACTAAGGGGGTAAAATGAGGCTCTTCCAGTTAAAAGAGAACTGGAAAAACTCTTGGGAGTACGAGTAAACTGCACATATAACAGTAGTTTTGGATGAATTGCTGATGTAGATGCCAAGAAAATAAGCCAACAACATAAAAACAAGTCCTACAGTGGCTGACTTGATCCTGTTCAGAAAAATGCTGTTCTTATCAAACATTGTTCACTTTACTAAGTGAGTTTAATGGTGAAGGAATTGATTGAATAGGTCTACTGATTGAAGGTTTGTGAAGAAGTGTTATCCTCCCACCTAAAAGCACTTTGTAGAATTTTCAAAATACCAAATACAGTATTTTATTTTGATACTTGTTATATCAATGTACAATGTATTTTTTGCCCATCCCTGGTAATACACAAAATAAAAAATGCTAACTTCCAAGGGCCATCTCTGTTTTGCTCACCATTGAGAAGCAAAGACTGCATAAAGGAGTGTGTTTTTCTTGCGTTTGGCTGGAAGTACATATACATCCTGTATGATGTTGAAAGGAAAGCCATCATCTGGTAGCGAACACAAAAGTTGAGCTTTCAGAAATGTGGTCCATTTCTTTTGCAGGACTCTCTCTCCACCTTGATCCTCCTGAGGTCACACACAGAAAAAAAGCAGATTATTAACATTTAATAATCCAGAATTGCCTACAGTACAGAATTCTATACTCTGAAAGACCACAAGGGGGCATCCAAATATTAGCTGTAGTTTCTGACTCCTTTTACAAGGTCAGCTCTAGTTTCTGAACTTTTTTTGAGTAAAAAAGTGCTGTTGTCATACAATGATAGAGTGATTGATTGAGATATGAATATCTTGATACTGAATGACTGTCTTATTTATTTATGATCGATTTCTTAAAGTATTTATATAATTAATACTGTAGTCTTGATGGGGCAGCGCGGTGGCGCAGTGGGTAGCGCTGTCGCCTCAGAGTAAGAAGGTTTATGGTTCGAGTCTCGACTGGATCAGTTGGCATTTCTCTGTGTATTTCATGCATGTTCTCCCCTTGTTCACTTTGGTTACCTCCACAGTCTAAAGACATGCGCTATGGGCGAATTGGTTATCTAAATTGTCAGTAGTGTATATGTGTGAACGAGTGTGTATGGGTGTTTCCCAGTGTTGGGTCGCAGCTGGAAGGGCATTCACTGTGCAAAACATATGCTGGTAAGTTGGCAGTTCATTCCGCTGTGGCAACCCCTGATTAATAAAGGGACTAACCCAAAAGGAAAATGAATGAATGTTGTCATGATTTCATCATGGGTGTGATGGAGTACCAGAGAGTGGGAAAGTAACACATATGTGAGCTTTAACAGGGCAGAGTTCACAGTCTTCTGTGATTCACTTTGTTCATCCGTTTATTAAATCAACCTCAGACTATGGTGACCAAAAAATGCCCTGGTTTTACAAATGAAAATCCATCTCCAGGGACTGGCTAAGAACTCTGACTGACACGTAAAACAACCAATCAAAGTTTGTTTGTTCAGCGTCATGCTTCTTAAGCACTAGCTGGTCCTGATAAGCACTCGTTGTTGCAGCTGTAAACATGATGACTTATTCTTCCAAAAAGGGGTTCGCCGTCATTCCAACTTTGTTTACATTAGCACTGTTAAATGACGCAATTATATATGTGACTCTTGGAAACCCTGCAGAATTCAACCAATGAGAGTGTGACTTCAAAACAGGCTGGTTTGGGCATGATGTAGCATGCGCTGCTGCATTGCGCAAATCCAAATAATGATTTATTGCGGGTGGAAAAAATATTTTTTTCCCACATAACATTGGTTAAAGTAAATTCTTCAAGTTTTTTTTAAATAAACATGTAGAAAATACCACAAAAGTTTGCCACAAAATACCACAAAATACCACAAAAAATCTGAAATGCAAACCCTGCTGTATATGTTGACCTTTAGAGTGAAGAAATTCTTAAAAGATTAAAATACGCTAAAAGCATATTGATTATGGATGTATTGGGATTTGTGTATGCGTGTCACTGCGTGTTCCTTCTCACGTTTATGCTGACTTTCTCAACACCTTGTGAACTGCTTAAACACTCCATCCTACCTTACACACACGTGCAATCCTGGACACTATGGTGTTATCAAAGAAGTCAAACTCCTTCCCCGTCTCACTGAAGAAAAAGTAGATCTGATCATCATTCCTCTCGCTGTCCGAACCAGTAATGTGAGCAGAACCTACAAACGCTGGGTCTGATGCACCACAACACACACAAACATAAAAACGTTCATAAAACACACTCTTTATAACTGTTTATTTACCCTCAGAATCAGTCGGTCATTTTCTGTTTTCATTATGCGTGAGAAAGCAGGGTTCTGCAATCACTGACGTTGGCATTTATTTTTAGATATTTATCTAATATGAGGTCCCTTGTGAGGAAGTTTGAGTGTGTTTGTATATATTTACCCTGGAGCCAGTTGAGAGAGTTCTCCGTTTTTAGAGGAGTGCCAGAGCCCAGACTCCTATATATGCTGGGTTCATTTCCTTGGAAGTTACTGACAGTAGCAGTGTACAGTTCCCCATCTACAACACACAAACACTCATCATCCCTAATTCAACCTCTTTATCAACCTTGATGCTTAGTTCAAACAAAACGATAGCCTTTTTTGCATGAGTATACTTACCCACTGTAATAGCTGTAGATCTGTATTCTGGATTAAATGGACAGCGTCCACGGCCGTCCTCCATAATAGGTTCACCCTTTTCATCTGCTTCCAGAGAAAAACTTGAAATGTTCTGGGAAATGTGTTTAAGCAGTTCACAAGAAAAAAAAAAGAAAAATTTGTTAATTTTTTTTTATAAATAAATCACATCGGAAATACTTTCTAAATATTATTATGAATAAAATAGTGTTCAAATATATTATTAAATACAGTTGAAGTTAGACTTATTAAAGCCTCTGATTTATTAGCCCCGTTTATTTTCCCCCAATTTCTGTTTAAAGGAGAGAAGATTATTTCAACACATTTCTAAACATAATAGTTTTAATATTTTATATATATATATATATATATATATATATATATATATATATATATATATATATATATATATATATATATATATATTTCTAATAACTGATTTATTTTATCTTTGCCATAATGACAGTAAATAATATTTGACTAGATATTTTTCAAGACACTTTTATACAGCTTAAAGTGACATTAACTAGGCTGGTTAGGGTAATTAGGCAAGTTATTGTATAACGATGGTTTGTTCTCTACACTAATAATAATAAGGGCTAATAATATTGACCTTAAAATGATTTTTAAAAAATTAAAAACTGTTTTTATTCTAGCTGAAATAAAACAAATAAGACTTTCTCCAGAAGAAAAAATATTAGCGGACATACTGTGAAAATGTCCTTGCTGTGTTAAACATTGTTTGGGAAATATTAAAAAAATAAAAGGGGGGCTAATAATTCTGATTTCAACTGTATATTATTTATTAAAGTAATATTATTTTAATTATATTTGGGGCCACATTACCTCTGTTAGACTTTAATAATTTAGTATTTCGTATAATAGTCTTTTTGTTGTTGTAGTTGTTACCCTCACTTATTTTATGTAATTGTTTATATTGTATCATACTTTTAAATGTAATTTATTCATGTATCATTTCTGTACATCATTTTATTTATTTATTATTACAATCATCTATTGTGACTGTATCTTTATGCAACATCAATCTGAGAAATGTTTTGATAAAATTTGTAACCATTATATCATGTAAGGATTGAGGGTTGGTTGGTTTATTGTATTTTTTTTATTGTTATTATTATTTTTATTTGGCTAATTGTAAAAAAAAAAAAAAGATGATGTCCTGATACTCTTTGTATTCTTATATTATACACAATGTTATGTACATTTCCAATAAACATACTTATAATTTTTTTTAATTGTATTTAATAAAGTAAAACATTTTGCTTTATGTTTCCATTTTTACTTCATGGTAATACCACATGACATTTATACAGTAACTAATTAACTAAAACGTTTAAAATGAATGTAGTCTAAAACCATATAAAAACAATATTTAAAAAAGATTTACTACATTTTTAAAGATTTAATAATGATATATAGTAGTATAATTATACCTTTAAGCAATATTAATTAATTCTTCAATTAATTCATTCATAATTCAACTTTGAGTGGAGATGCTTAAAGTTGAAACGGGCCAAGGCTGACTCATTGTAATCTTATGATATAAGGTATGATAGGAAGGCGGATGGGGCAAATGGCTTTAACACAAACATCGTCATTTCTAATTTGACATAACCTTTTTTTGTTTGTTTTATTGCTAAGCTACAAAAAAGCAAACTGAAATTAATTGTTTCAATAAATGTTGTAAATAAATCAGATTTTTAAAAAAATTTAAATACTGTCACTCGACTGATCAAGACATCAGCGAGCAAATCAAGGCAAAAACTAGTGTAATGCTGTTGTTTTAAATGAGATTGTTCTGGTTTTACTGTAATAAGTTCTAAATAAATGTAAAAAAAAACTGTATTAGTCGGTCATTTTTAAGTATAATTAAATAAATTAAAAAATTACCCGTGGCAACTATATTAACCTTCTGTCCACTAGCCTCAATCCAGTTTGGTTTTTGGTCCTTCATAAGAAAAAGTTATAGGGTTTAGGCTTAGCATACAAGTATTCAAACCTTTCAGTTACTACTACAGCTTATACTTGTTTGACAAAGTGTTTACTGTATATTTCATTCAACCATTTAGACACACTTCAGACTTCATACTAGACATATGAATACAAAAACTCACAATATAAGTGCAGATGGGGCTGAATGCATACGTTCCACACACAAACAGGTGTGTGCTGTTCAGACGCAGTAAGATCTTGATGTAGTTGAAACAATCAGTCTGAAACACATAAGAATCAAACTACTTTTCAGTTTGTTGCTTTAATACATTCCTTCACATATACATATATTAAGAATTGCCACAACACACATACCTGGGGGTCTTTTCCCTTAAAGATACACTCTCCCCTCTTTGTTTCAGGAGTGCTCCACGTGAGCTGCAAAAGATGAAAACGTCTGAGTAACGTCAAAATGTACTCCTACACACAACTACAAACATTCTCCCATGAACTTACTGTTTTCTGTAGGTGCGTCACGCTGATGTTGTCCAGGCTGAGGGAGAATATGTTCTCTCTGGCTCCCACATAGATCTTGTTTTCATCTGGGCTCAGCAGAAGAGCTGAATAGTTGTACACACCATTCACAGAGAACCCGCTCACTGATCGCCCTTCTGCATCTGAACACACACAGAGATGAGAATATTACCTATACAGGCTAAAAGCAATTCATAAGGAGAAGATTGTTGGTGTACAGTGCACATGAGGTGAATTTCAGAATCAGCACAGAACACTTGTACTCTATATGCACTTATGGAAAGCCATTAGAGCCAAAGTTCTTAAATGAAACACTTGAAATTTAATAGTGTCGGCTAGGGTTGGGTATCGTTCATTCTCAAATGAATACTTTTAAAATTCTATTGGTGGCCAAAAGTGTGCCAGAACAAATACTTAATAGGCCATAAAATAAAAGTGGATGATCATCTTATGATAACAATAATTACATTAAAGAATGTATTTTTTTTCTTTTGAAAATGTAAAATTAAACACTACATTAAATGTTTAAAGTATACGCAAGTATAAAAAACAAGCAAAACAACAAATTTAGAAATGAACTCATTTTTTTCACTACTGTAAACTTGTGACATCTTGTGGACAATCTAAGTAGTACAAAAACAATTGAAACGCATGTGCAAGCTGCTCATTTGGGCTGAAACTCTGGCTGCGATTCTGAGATATACATGCATATACACTAGGCATGGGATGATAACCGTTTTTAAGGTATATCCCAGTTTTAAAAAAATCAAAGTTTTAAAACAGCCGAAACGTTCTGCTATATCATTCCTAAGTGTAAGACTTTTTTATTGAGGATTTTTAGGATCCATTTAATTTCTATTTCTATTCTTTTTTTTCACAGTATCTTCAGCAGAAAAGATATGCAAATATGTTGTTTTAAATTGTAAAGAAATCTTTTGTAACAAATGAAGACAGCAGAAGTTAAAGAATCATTTTTATTATTCAGCATGTTTACTGTTCCAAAATTATAAATGTTTCTCAAAATAAAATAGATTTTGTTCAAAGGGGAAAAAGTTTTTGTTTTTTATCCAGAAATTTAAAAGACATATATTTTAGAGCAGTAATCACAATGCTGTAAAACATGATTTTTTTTTTTTTAATACGAGGTTATCATACCATCAGAATCTTGTACCGGCCCATGCCTAATATACACACTCATCAAGCATGTTTATTTGAGAAGCACATTTGTAATGGTATACTGTCAAACATTTATTTGGACATCAGAAATTGCCACCTCAACAAACTGTGTGGCAACATCATTAAATTTCATGCATTTAATTTAAAGGTCGAACAGTTTTCTTCAGTACACCTATATGTAAGAAGTTAGATTTTTATTTAAATAGGGCTGGGTTATTAATTGAAATAAAAGAAAAGTTGTGTGATTGGCAGTAAATGTACTCCAAAAAAACAGAGGGCACTCTAGCACAAAAACGTTAAACACCCCCAAAATGTAACCCAGGAAACCCCAATAGCATTGCCCATATAGCAAACTTTCATTCATCTGTATAAGGAATGTAGAGCTCTGGCCTCAGGAAGTTCTTGGAAGATAAAATCATCCTACATTCCTTTTTTAAGGTAAATGAAGGTGTGTTAATTGCAGAGTTCCTCTATTTAAGAAGAGCAATTTCTAAAAGAGATCAAGCCTCATCCAGGTCAGAAAAATCAAATGTAATGTACCACATTACTTACCATAAAACGTTACTAAGTAATGCAACTCGTTACTTTTTTAGGGAGTAACTCAATATTGTAATGCATTATTTTCTAAAGTAACTTTGCCCTACACTGAACACAGATTATGGATTGTATTACACAGAGCCAAAGTTCATTGTGGAGCTACACAAAGTGCTGTCATTACCACTCCATTAAAACCACTTTGATTTTTGAATACAATTTTATGTAAGACATTGGTAGGTCCATTTTAAATTAATTTCCAATTTTAAATTAATTTCACTAATTTTTACATAATTGTGATTTAATAATAGTAATATTAAAATGTTCACATAATTTATTTACAATACAGTTTGTAAAGTCATATTTTAGTATAGATATAAAATATGACTTGCTTTGTTTGCCAAATAAGTGGATCTAGATGGATTTGCATAGTAAACATTAAATAAAAGTTAATACAGTTTTTTTTCATCTATTAAGTTTTTAGTCATGATACTCCTTAAATCATCCAGCATAAATCTGCAGAGTTTTTCTAAATTCTCTGCAGAAATGGCTAAAAATGTCAGCAGATGAACTATGATTCTGTGTAATAAACGCTGCTCCATCTGAAAGCACATGCTGAACATCTTTTCTGACAAAACACACATTAAAAAAATGTATAAATTAAACTTTTGCTGTTGATTAATTTCCCAGCCCTACATGTAAATAGCATGTATATTTCAAATTACTTCACAGATAAAGGTTATTTATGCATACACTAGGCTATTAACACTGAATTGCTCTTAACTTTAAAAAGAGAAAAAGTACAGAAATTGGACAGAAAAAATAATTATTGTGATTTTTTAAAAACTGTTTTAACTAATCATAAATTGCTCTTTACAGTTCATTCTAAATGTATCTTGTATTCCTCACACAAAATTGACTTTATAAACTATGCAAACCTGTACCCTAAACAAAATGACGTGGGTTTGCATGTCAGAAAGTTTTCCTGGTGAGGCACAGAGTCACTAACATTATTATTTACAGACATAAAACCCTTTACAAGCTGTTTTGGTTCTAAGTACCACCATTACATTTGCATTTTCAACCTCATATGATTAATGAGTACGGCTGTTATCCTGATACAGCACACCAGCCAGGGTTTGCAAATGGTTCTAATAGCTCTTGTAAATGTTTACAATCAAGGATTAAACCCCTCTTGTGTGTTTGGCTCAGATGAGTAAATGCAGCATTTGGAACAGTCACATAATGGGTCTTTCGGGAATAAGAAACATCAGTTCAAGTAGCCCTAAAATTGAGCTAAATTATTGCAGATGAATGGTAGTCTGAGGGAATCTGGGCCAGCAAAGCTTCTTTCAGAGGAAACAGAGATGTTCATTACTGACATTGCTGCTTTTGTGAAAATAATGATGTAAACTTTTCAACATTTCCCAGGATTAGTCTTGAAGAGAACCAAGTAAATACTAAAAGTAAATGTTAGATGAATATAGTGTGCATGTAAATTCATGCATACAGTATACAGCTCAGAAAAAAAAACTAGATGACCTGTTAAAAGTTATTATAATTTTTCTGCAATTGAAATAAATAGATAAATACATAGAGTAAAATTTTCAACTATGTTAATATTATAATTTAGTGTATTATTTAAAGAAAGCAAAAAAAAAAGTAAATATAAAATATTTATTTACAAAATTTTCTTTTATTTTAAATTGACCTATTTTTATTTTCTTGAAAAAAATTCAATTTCTTAAAAACATTTCAATAAATTACAATATTGTTTTTTGACATTTAGGAGGCACGTTATAACTAGTAAAACAAAAAGGCATTTTACTCAAAACACTAATGTATTAGTAGGGTTGGGCAATTTGACCTTAAATCAAAATCCTGATTGATTGAACATTTTAACTCGATTACAATAAATGAACGATTATTTTATTTATTTATTTTATATTTTTGCCATCCTAGTTCACTGACAAGTTTTGCTCACATATTACAAGTCAGAGGTTTTTAACTGAAGGGAGCACACCTTGACTAAAAATTATGAAGGAAACACACAATATCTACTATCTATGATTATTTATTGAAGATTAACGCTGAGCAACTGAAATGAAAACACACACTGCCTAAAACAAACAGTAACTTTTTTTCATATAAAAAGTGAAAATAAACTTGCACTTTTGGAAAATCAGCAGTATCTCTTCTAAATAAATCAACTCTTGTATATCCTGTAAATAATCATTTTAAACAGTTCATTTCTTGAATCTTTTGTAAACAAATATTTTAAACTCCTATGGCTTAGTGGCCACATACGTGGACAGCACATTTTAACTTTTAGGTGGCTATTTAAAATACTTTGAAAGTTTTTTATATTTGTTACAGACATAAAGTGTCATCCTGCAACTGTTTTGCAGCATATGAAATGTCCCAAACCCTATTTTCAATTGTACAAAATGGATTTTTTTTTGTTTTTACTCTCTGATAGTCAAAACATGTAAAACAATTCTTTCTTAAATATTATGCATTAAAAATCATTCAGGAAAAAGTGTTTTATGTAAATTCAGGCAACAAGTCCACATTAATGGACATCACTTTTCTCTAAAGGTACATCATTTCAAAAGATGATACTTAGGTTTTTATTCTAATTAGGTTTCAATAAGCCCAAATAGCAAAAAATAAATAAAAATGCATGTAAAAAAACACCTTGGGCTTTGAGAGATTAATGTAAATAATTTTATTGTAATGGAAAATATGCAATATCAAGGCATCTCTGTTGCAGCTTCTAATTATTTTCTATGTTTCCATCCACCTATTTTAATGTGCATTTAGGATGCGTGCAAAAAAAACTGTTGATGCAAACACTAAGACGCGCATCAATTTTAAAAATGTGCATTAAAAACATAAGCGCATAACTGAGTAGGATAAAAAAAATTTTGATAAGAAAAGATTCTTATAAACTACGATGGAAACACTTTTACCAAACAAACTCCATCTTGTGCATTAAAAAAAGTCATGTGATTTTGTTATAAGAGATCATGTGATGATAAAAATGTGTGTGAATGGGCAAACCAGCAGGCTGAGCACACTGTAAAACATCTAAAATGTTGTTTTGGTCATTCTAAAATAACTTAATCATTTCAGTATTAGTGTTATTATATTATTAATTACCTCCAGATTCAAGAGTGTCTGTGCTCTGCGTCTCACGCCTTCAAACGCATTCGCTGCATGTCAGGATTGCCTTCTGAGGCACAAGTCATTTATTAAATAAAGAAAGGATTCCCGCAGCTTTTCCTACTGCAGCAAATTACGTTTTTACTGTTGATATTTGGCGCCAGTTAATTAGGAATGGGGATTTTGTTCTCTTTGACTCATTGGATGGAAACGCTGCTTCATTTGCACGTCTTTTATGTGATAATCCAGTTTTGTGCCTAAAGTTAATTCACATTTTTGGATGGAAACATAGCTATAGCCAATGTAGTGCAAACGTACAGCGTGTAGTTACATTTTTTGAGGGGTGCGCAGGTATGCCACCATGCGAAGGCTGCATCGGGCCATACCTCTGCGCTCGATGCAGAAGTATAAATCAGCCTTAAAGCGAGATCACGTGACTCCACGCACAGTACGAAAAGTCATTGGAAAAACTGGCCTGGAAAAATTCGACTGATTCCAGGTTTTGAATGTCGATTTCGATTACTTTTCAATTCATTGCCCAGCCCTCTGTATTAGTTGCAAATCCAAAAAAACTGCAATAATGATGCAATAAGTCTTATTTTTCTCCAGGGCTATGTTCAAACATTTACAAAAGATTTTTTTTTTTTGGAATTAATACTTTTGTTTTTAACTTTCTCATCAGAAAATCCTGATCTTTTGTTTTTAGCACAGCTCTACACATAACTATTAATCATCATAAGTCTCTCTTGATCATCAAATGAATTCAGAAGGATCGTGCGAGTATTGTCTGATTTCTAAAACCTTTTAAAAACACAACATATACAAAGCTTTAAAAAATAGTGGCTCAAAATATATATTGACCAACTGATTCCATCGCTGTAGCGTGGTTTAGAGTCAGAAATGTTTACATATGATATACTGACTGATGAAATGTGCCATGTAGGTAAATTACCCCCCTGCCTGCTGGCTCTAGGGGGATTGGTAAAGTATTAAGTGACATGCAAATAGCTTTGAATAAGAATGTATCTGTTGAATAATGAATGAATTAATTTATCCACTTACTGTATGTGAAACTAATGCGTGCTGTAACATCATCTTCACTCGCCATGGTTGATTGTAAAACTCCAGCCAAAACAATCCATATGCTCCAAAATAAGAGCCAGACAGAGTCATTGTTTTCCATGGATATTTTCCATTGGACTTTACATTTGGTTGCCATGGTTACCGCTTTGCGATTGAAGATTGTTCCAAGTATCTTTGGTATTCAGATGTGACGTTTACAGCTCGTCTTTGACTCTTTTAGGGATATTTGGGGTCATACTGCAAGGCCATACTGGAATCAGTTCCACATAGAGATCAAGGGGGAACTGATATTAGATCCTGGTTGGAAAACACTTATTTTACACGTCACATTCCCACTGTTAGTGACTGGAAACTCCTATTGAATTGTCTGGAATCTGCAGAGGAAAAAACAGAGGCACATTTAGTCAAATGAATAATCAGAGACCAACAGACTAAATGGTTTTTCCCTATGAGAGCATAATAACCAGGAGTTATACACTCTCAGATAATAACAAAGCCTGAAATGAAGACCCATGATAAAATAAACAGATTCACAGTTCAAAGGAGGGTAATCTCAACATTCAGAGCACATGTTTCAGAGTTATTTGTGTGTGAATTTGATGTCCTCCTCTGCATGACATTATCCAAACAGTATTTGGAAATGTAACAGCTCCTCCCTTTTGGCCTGATCGGCTTTTAAGAGTGGTTTGTCCTGAAAACAGAAAGGTTGCGTAGTCTTTGTAGCCTCAAGCATAACACACAAATGAAATTAAAAAATACCATCCTAATTATGCTTATGTTATTGATTTATATTTATATTATTATTATCTTTATCATTTATTTGTTTTAAGGTGGAGAAAATAAAATCACCAAACTACACCGAATATGTACTGCCAGTGAGTAACTGTCAAAAAGATGGGGTGACTATTTGGTCATGAGCATCCATTCATTCATTCATTCATTTTTTTTTCAGCTTAGTCCCTTTGTTTTATCAGAGGTTTCCACACTGGAATGAACTGCCAACTATTCCAGCACGTTTTGCGCTTTATTTTACTTTATTTTGGCTTTAATGCAATATCAGCAGCATTGGCTATATTCATGGCAAAACATCTACTAATTATACAATATATAACTATTGAATCATATCAGTTTCTTAACAAACATACATTGTAAAAAATAAACAAGAACAACAAAAACAAACAAATAGCAACAACACTGAAAACAGTCATAATAAAGTGTTTTAGTTTGTTCAAAGATACATATTCTAAAATTGTTCAGGTAGGCACCCTTTCAAACGTTTCACTTAAAATATTTCCTGAATAAAAAAGTTCTCTAATATCATTTAAAAATAAACATTCATATGTTTTACGCAGCGGATGCCCTTCCAGCTGCAACCCAGTAATGAGAAACACCCATACATTCTGTAATGAACACACATGCACTAGGGCCATTTTTGTTTATTAAATTCACCTATACCGCATGTTTTTGGACTGTGAGGTGGCATCAAACCATAAATAATTTTTTTTTAGATAATCAAACAGATGTACACATATAAAATCTTAAAAGTATAGATGTAACAAAATGTGTCTACTTCTGCTATCATTCTCAAGGACAAGATGTACACAAGCACACATGAATCCTGCAGACAGAACTGCCCTGTGACTGCTGCGAAGACTCAAGAGTCACATTTGGAAGACAGGCACTTCTAAATGATTAAAGACCGAGGTAAAAATAAAACATGCAGTTTACACTGATATGAACTAACCGAAAACCAGAAGGTATACACAGCTTTTCCTCAAGTATGTTACAAAAAAAGGAGATTAAAAGGACAGTTCACTCTAAAAATACATTTTTACTCACCGTTAATGGTTGCAAACCTGAGTTTCTATTTATTTCTATTTATTTACTCTGTCGAACACAAAAGAAGATAACGGCTAGCAGGTTGCAATTCTCTTTTGAGTTCGACAGAAGAAAGAAACTTTAACAGGTTTGAAGCAGGTGGAGTAATGAAGTAGATCAGACATTGTTTTGGTAAACTATTCCATTAAAGTAGATAGTTTGCTCATTTGTCATATTTATACTCTTTTTATTTTATAATGTACTTAAAATCCATTTTTATAGCAGGTAGTAGGGCTGTGCGATTTGGGGAAAATATCCAATTGCGATTATTTTGACAGCTGATGCGATTTCGATTTGATTTGCGATTTAATCAAGCTACAGCTCAATAATCTATTGTAGCTTCTTAATGTTTAAATGCAGCGAGTGTTAACGAGTAAATTTGTTAACATGTTCTTAAAGAAAATCATAGTTAGTAGGTTGTAAGCTCTCCGAAGAGTCATGCATGTAGTCGCATTGAATGACATAATATCCAATACTGTTTTGAAATTCTGCATCTATATATAACTGTCCTATGAAAATGAAATGACACTTGATATTTTTATGATATGTTATGACAGTCAGTCAATACAGATGACGCAAAAACATGCATCGTGAGCCATGAATGCACGCGAAATATCACATTTTTCGTGACTTTAAAACCAAAATATTCCCATATTACTGATGTCCTGATTTCCATTGATATTTGTCTATTAATGCTTCTGAACCGGCAGACACCATCATCCTACTAGTCTGCGCTTTCCTTTTTGTGTGTTTTTGTAGCCGTTCTGCATAGTTCGGTTACGCAATTGTAATTGGGGAAAACGAAAGTGTGCTCACTCAATTGGCTAGAAAGACTGTCACACACAGACGATAAGCTAATAGCAACGTTTCAAATTGCAATTGGGATTCGATTTAAATTAATCGCACAGCCCTAGCAGGTAGCAACATGGGATGTCTGTTTATTGACCAATAACCATTAATACATACACATAAAACTTTTGACTCTGTAAATCTTACAGGGAAAGAACTTTTGTTTATGAACTACCTTCCATTGATGTTGATATGATCTGATTTAGTGCCTGATCTCAAGAGAGGAAGACTTGATAGAGGGATTAATAATATGATCTCTCAACCTTGTACTCTAGAAATTAATTAAAACGTTACGTAACTCTTTTTAACAGCAGTAAATATTCGATTCGCTCTTCACTCTTAATTGGTAATGTTTTCTTGTCAGTATAAGATAATTTACAATGCACTATACCGTAAAGTAGACCATCTAAAGAAGGATATAGAGGTCAACGCCTTATCTTTAACTTCAAAAAGATCTCTGATATTTGCAATAAAATTTACAAGCTGTCTGGCCTCGTTCCTCTAGGCCTAATACTTTTATGACACTAACTGGAAAAGAGCAGCACAGCATTGGTTTCTTTTACAATTCTTTGTAGAGCCAGACCTTGGGCCAAAAAATTGAAGTAAGGCCATCTATATTAGTTAAATTCTACTGAAACTGCTGACCTCATAATAAGCTCAACAATATGGAGCTCATGTTCTCGGTTATTTACACATAAAAGGATCTTTAACTGTCCTGAGGTGTGACATGGTGAGAAGAACAGTCTTCCTCTGATACAATGAACCAAATGGAGAACCGGTTATCAATTGTTGACTCCCAACCAAATACTAACTAAAAAACACTAGAACTTGCATCTTGACTAAACTGCATAAACATCAAACGATTCTTTGATAGGACATACAAGGTATTCACTGTCCGAGTCTTTGATCCAAAAGGTCGATGCTGTTTTAAACAGAGCAGAGTTTAAGTAAACAGTAAAGGTCTGCTTTCATGTGCTCTCTTCTCTCAACCAACCATAGAAAGGAACTACGGTCTTCAGTTTTAGTCAGCATTTAAAAAATATAAGGAAGTACACTTCAGTTTTGAATTCTTGTTCTAATAATCAGCAACTAAAAAGATAGTAAGAGGAGAAGACACATTTTTTGATCACTAATTACAATTTAATTGTTATCTCATGTTAATCATTATCTAACCTCCTTCTCTACACTCAAAATCACATGGTCTGAAGGGTAAACAAATTAAAAAACCCAGTCGACACAATTAAGGAGGATGTTCCCTGTTTTCAGAAACCCCCGTCATAATTAAGATGATTAATATCAATAATTAATGGTAATGAAGGCAGTACTCTTGATCAAAGCATCTTTAAAACAAAGGAAACACATATTTAAGGACGGGTTCCAGAAAGGTGAGGCTGATTATTTTAAGGTTAAGGGCAATTAAATAAAAGTAATAGTCAGAAACAATCTTGTTTTTGTTTTGTGAATGTTTTTGCTTGCCTGATGTCATCATAATGGATCTATATAACCAAAGGTTATGTTAGATTATGTGATTATTCTTGACTATGCAAGCTAATAGAGGTCTTACATGTAACCTGTTGTTTTTAATGTATTTGTCATCACTGTTTACAGAAGAATAGTGCATTACTTAATGCAGTCCTGATGCTTGCTGTAAACGTGAAACTATACAGTCCTAGTTTTTCTGATGATCTGCTCCACTTGATCTGAAACCGTCTGATATTCTATTAAAAGTTCCCATGCGATAACACGTGGGTATAAAAGCTGACTGTGCAGTTTTTACCCTTTCTGCATCACAAACAGTACTAAATCTGCACTTTCCACCCTACTTTTGATGTTTATTCATCCTCACACACACTTGCAAGATGTCGAGCTTTACTTTGCGGTGTACTTTGTCAGAGCACGCACACGCACAATCCAGCACCACCTTGTTTATTTGAGCCATTTTTTTCCACCCACCTACTACCACCACCCACCCCCAACTCACTCACTCACCCACCCTCTACTACAACTACAAACACACTAAATACAGCCTGTCTGGATCCTAGTACACCTTAGTACCAAAACACTTATCTCAGAAGAAAATAAATTATTGGTCGACATTAAAAAGTGTTGTTTCGCAACAGGTGATTTTCCGCACCACAACATTCAACAGATAAACGTGGTCAGTCCTACGTCTGCGAACAATACTGGATCCTCGATCGCACCTCTTGGTCAACCCACTGCCCCTTTAACTTATTGTTTTATGCAACTTACCGCTGAAGCGCTTGAAGCTGTTACACCTCTCTCTGAATAGACTGCCAGCTGATGCGAGTCGTAAATGAGTCGTTGTAATCCAGCAGGTTTTCTCTGAGTCCCGGGTAACTGTGCAACATTCAGCCGCTGATTTCTTCTCTCATGGATAAACCACTGAGACACTCGGCTCGACCCTCCTCCTCCTCCTCCATTCACTGGAGCCACACCTCTAACACACTCTTTCTCTCTCTCAAACACACACACGAAACCAGAGGTGCTTTATCCAAAGCATTGCGTTATATTATGCTGTTGAAACCAATGAGAAACTACAGTCAATGTTATTTCTAAATGTGCAGTAACTTTGCTTCATGTAAACATGTTTAAAATGTAGCAAAATAAGTAACTGTGAATCAGATTTACATATAGCCAACGAGAAGGCCCCTATTTAACCTTTTAAAACTTATTTTTGATTGTAATTGGTTTTTCACTAGTCATAAAATGTGTCTATATATATATATATATATATATATATATATATATATATATATATATATATATATAAATAAAATAAAAATAGGCCCTAATAAAGGCTAAACCATATGTATCTGTGTGTGTAGTAGTGGTAGTAGAGTACTGGTTCATTCAATTTTAAATTTTTTAAGGGATAGTTCACCCAGAATCTTTTTTCATTTACTTTTTCTAAACTTGTTTAAGCTTGCGTGGAACACAAAATAAGATATTTTGATCAATGCTGGAAACCTGTAACCATTGACGTCCATAGTATTTGTGTTTGAAGTTAATAGAGCGATCAATTTTCAATTTTCAGTGATCTTTATATTATCTTCTTTTGTGTTCAACAGAAGACAGAAACTTATAAATGTTCATTACAACCTGAAGTTAAGTAAATAGTGAGTAAATTTTAATTTTGGATGACCCCTTTAATGGAGATTATAACAAAACTGTTATTGAACTATTCAGAATTAGAATCGGATTGCCAAGTGTGCTTTACACACACAAGGAATTTGTTTTGGCTACAGAAGCTTTCAGTGTACATAAAGTGACAACACAAAAATAATATGAGAAAAGACGACAAACATTAATCAGAGTTATGCAATAAGACAAAAGGACGATGAATTTTTGTACAGATTTGGTATAATTCACAAAATATAGGGCAGCACGGTGGCTCAGTGGTTAGCACTGTCACCTCACAGCAAGGAGGTCGTTGGTTCGAGTCCTGGTTGGACCAGTTGGCATTTCTGTGTGGAGTTTGCATGTTCTCCCCATGATAACATGGGTTTTCTCCAGGGGTTTCCCCCATAGTCCAAAGATATGCAGAATAGGTGAATTGAATAAACTAAATTGGCTGTAGTGTATGAGTGTGTATGGGTGTTTCTCAAAATTCCGCTGTGGTGACCCCTGAAATAGAGACTAAGCTGAAAGAAAATGAATCAATGAATGAATAAAGAGCTTTGTAAAATGGTAAAATCTAGACATTCATTTATAGTCGGCCACTAAAAAAGTTGGTTTGCACCAACTTCAGTGCAAAGACTTTATTAAACCCTGAATAAAAAATGGCCACCATTGTTATATTAAATTCAAACACTGTTAAATATACTTATACACTTATATCAAGTTTGAAGACAAATTTTGAAAGATGCAACCATGTTTTATCAGATAGCTACCATTCTTTTAGCACACTGTTTTCATGATCTGCCACAGTATTACCCTACCGCCCAAGACCAGTAAGTACAGGAGACCACATGGGAAAACACTTTTCGGATAATACGTTACACTGAGGTCCTGACTTTCTATGGTCATCACTTTTTGTAAAAAGTAGGGGTGTAACCCAGGTGTCCTGGTCAAATTCCCTCCGTCAGACCTTACCCATAATGGCCTCCCAATCATCCCCATCCTCCGAATTGGCTCTATCACTGTCTCTCCACTCCACCTAGCTGGTGTGTGGTAAGTGCACTGGCGCTGCTGTCCTGTGGCTGTCGTCGCATCATCCAAGTGAATGCTGCACACTGGTGGTGGTGTGGAGAGACCTCCCTCATGATTGTGAAGCGCTTTGGGTGTATGACCATCCATGATAAATGCGCTATATAAATACACATTACATAATCAGTGCTAACATGTTTTTGTACATTTTTAGCATGATTTAACACACTGTTAACATATTTTATTATATTGCAAGCATGGTAATTGCATTGTTAGCATGTGCATAGCATGATAATGTTTAACATAAAACAGAAATGTTTGGCAGAAAAGATTCTAAAGGGCTTTTGCGTCATTCAGACATTGAAAATCTATAGGATTTCATCAGAAATTGTATTCCCAGATTATCAACCTATGCAAATCTTTGAGTGTTTTGTTGCTTTTTTTTAATTAAACATGTTTATTTATTTATTTATTTTTTATAAATATTTATGCAGGGTTTATCACCTTTACTGTATAGGAAGGTAGAGAGTATTGACATGAAAGCATGGGGAGCAGAGAGGGGAAGGATCGGCATAAGACCACGAGGCGGGAATCCAACTCAGGTCACCATGAGCACCGGAGTGCATGTGTCAACGCACTAACCACTACACCGACATAAACATGTTTATTCATTCATTCATTTTCTTTTCAGCTTAGTCCCATTATTAATCTGGAGCCGCCACAGTGGAATGAACCACTAACTTATCCAGCAATGTTTCACGCAATGGATGCCCTTCCAGCTGCAACCCAACTCTGGGAAACACCCATACACTCTTGCATTCACACACGTACATGCCAATTTAGCCTATTCAATTCACCTATACCCTATATCATCATGACGCGTGAGTTTAATAAAAGTGCAGGCAGCCAGGTGACTCCCAGAGTTAGACAGGCCTTCAAATCGAAAAGAATAATTCAAAGTGTAGTCCTCAAAGGAAATTACAGTGGATTAGAGGCAGATCAGCAGCAAGGACAAGAGCTGAGCTCAGGCATCCATGAAATCTCTAGTAAAGTTACAGCAGACTGCCATCAAATGCTGGTTAATACTTCTAATGAGCAGTTGTGCTCTTAGTCAGGAGTTAGTTATCAAAAGAAAGATTTTCAGTCTCATGGCATGGTCTTTATCCTTCTTTTAATGGTAATGACATTTGAAACATTCACCTATTATTGTGCACCCTGATTGAGATTCAATGAATGTTCCTTTGTGCATTTGGTAGTCATTCAACCAACTGCACCCTGTCTGTGAAGAAATAACAGAATCCATAGAGTGAAGCACTTGTGTAAACATACAACAGTGTTTCATCTTTAATGAGAAATAACCAGCAAGGTCGTGCAGCAGTCTCCTCTTATTTTTACAGAATAAGCTCAGTGTCTGTCCTAACTATCTCCCAGCCTGTCACCAAGGTAACCAGTCTCTGTTCAGTCTACTCCACAATTGAACAAATGAGAAATGAGAGCCTTGAGTCATGCACACGGTGCTCTTTTTCACAGTGGGTCATACCAACTATGGCTACAATTCTGGGTTTGGTTTATTACTGCTATTATGCTTTGTGTTTTATCATGTAAGCCTGACTTTTGTGCACCTAAATTAATAAATGTCAAGTGGTTTTGGAATTACTCCACTGCAGTGTAGAGTACCGTGTAATGTCACATAAATCTCTCATAAGATTTGCTTCTTTGGAAGTGATACAAATGTACAGCTAGATGGATGACTTATGACAGTCCGTGAAGTGTGGTTTTGGTGTATGACACATCGAAAGAGCTGATGCAAGACATTTCTGAAAACATCTTGAAATTCTTAGTGTGCTTTACGCAAGTGAGTGGGCTTGACAAACCACCTGTAGTTGACAAACAGACTTTTCTTCTGTATATGCACTTTCTCATAAGCACTCTATACTTCTTGGAGAACATTATTGTGACAATCACCAGTGATCTAATCCTTACAGATTGCTGGTAAACTCAGATCGCATAGAACTACAAATTCACCGGTATATGGACTACAAGATCTAGTCATGCACCACACACTCACACCTGTTCCGGTTTCTCACTGATTGAAAGCTGTACAGAACTGATTGCATGGACCTTAAAAGCAGCACACACACACACACACACACACACACATACACCAGTTGCTGAGTCTTGTCTTACAGTTTTGTGACATTAGCCCCTTTCACACATACAGAAAGGTGTGTATGTGTGAACAGGTCCTTTTTGAAAATACAGCTAAATTCGTCCTGGCTATTTTCTGAAAAAAGAAGTTGTAACATTACTGGTAATTTGCCGGAATGCTGCGCTGTGTGAATGCAGAAGGAAGATTGCCGTAATAAGCGCGTGCACGTCTAGAACGTGCTGACGTGAGACGTCTGCTTTAGCCAATCACAACAGTCAGACGCATTTACGTCTGCGCGGTTTGTGAGAATAAAAGCCTTTGAATATTTTTCCAGACACATTTAGCTGCTAGAAGTTAGTCAGATCACGTTTATATGTTCTTCTTAATGCCAACTGTGTAAATAATCATCGATGAGATGCTTATGATAAGCCGTTGTTTGTTTACCTTCAAGCTTTTTTCGTGTGCCTGTGAAACAGCCTGTGAGCGCCTGCACACGCACATATCATGAACATCTCGACATGCGAAAGTGATCCTGCGAAAGTTGTTCACAATATTGATATTCCACAGAGTTTGTAATTTAGTCAAATGTTTACAAATACAAGCGCAGCCGTTTAAAGCTCATTTGTGGTGAATGATGTCAGAATTTACCGGTATTTTGGAATAGATGTGTGAATGCTCTTTTCCGGAAAATTTCCGTAACATCCTCGCCTGTGTGAACAGCGCTTTTTTGAATATACCGGTAAAGTCGTTCCAGAAATTTTCCAGATATTTACCGGTATCACTGTGTGAAAGGGGCTATTGTGACATTTGTGACCTTGTTTGTTTGTTTATGTTGTCTGCTTCCTGCCTGTATGACCTATTACCTGTGTTTTTAAATATGACTCTGGATTTGCTTGCATACGTCTGTTTACTACTGATCATGACCGTTGCTTAACCATTCTCAATAAATCTGCGTTTGGATTTGCACTCCCTTGTCAGCGTTCGCTTCACATTACAATTGTGCAATTCTGAGTGTGCTCCACAAAGTGAGTGTGTTTGACAAATCCTCTTCTCTCCGTATGCTTAGACTTGTCATAGCATGTACAGTGCTCAGCATAATTGAATACACCCCATTTTGAAAATGAATATTTTTAACAGTTTCTCAGTAAATATAGGCAATATATTTTAGTGCATTTAAACAAAACTGATTTATTAAACAGATAAATTTATAAAAAATAATATTTTAGTCATTAAACATTCAAAACTGTAAGATAATACAATAAAATTCAAGCAAAATATTGA